TGATACGTACATATTTATATTTTCTCTCGAGATTGCTGTTCATTTGTTCGATTTTAGTTGAATTTAATTAATTTTTGATTAGTTTTATATGAGATGAGGGGATGACGAATATCAAATGCGATCCAGAGAGTAAATGATTGTAAATGTAATAATGTTCTTCCTATTGAAATGAATCGCATATGTGTCAATTATTGTCTTTCACAAATGATAGTTTTAAAGGAAGAACTTTTGGATATTTTTAAAACAGATGAACAGTTGTAGAATGTGAATGACGATCCTGAGAGTAAATGATTGAAAATGAAATAATGTTCTTGCTATTGAAATGAATCGCATTTTTCTCAAATATTATCTTACACAAGAGAGAATGTTGGAGAAAGAATTTGATCAATTGTGATGGGACGAACGACTATGATACGTACATATTTATATTTTCTCTCGAGATTGCTTTTCATTTGTTCGATTTTAGTTGAATTTAATTAGTTTTTTTAATTGTTTCATGTAAGATGAACAAATGATGAATGTGAAATGCGGTCGCAATAATGAATGACCGTTTATGTTCTGATGTTCTACCTGTCCAAATGAGTAGCATATTTGTCAATTATTGTCATTTACGAATGATAGTGTTAAAGGAAGAACTTTTCGATATTTTTAAAAGAGATGAACAGTAGTAGAGTGTGAAATGCGATCCCGAGAGTAAATGATCGAAAATGAAATAATGTTCTTCCTATTGAAATGAACCGCATTTTTCTCAAATATTATCTTACACAAAAGAGAATGTTGGAGAAAGAATTTGATCAATTTTGATGAGAAGAACGACTATGATACGTATATATTTATATTTTCTCTCTAGATTGCTTTTCATTTGTTCGATTTTAATTGTATTTAATTAATTTTTGATTAGTTTTATCTGAGATGACGGGATGAAGAATATCAAATGCGATCCAGAGAGTAAATGATTGTAAATGTAATAATGTTCTTCCTACTGAAATGAATCGCATATGTGTCAATTATTGTCATTCACAAATGATAGTTTAAAAGGAAGGACTTTTGGATATTTTTAATAGAGATGAACAGCTATAGAATATGAAATGCGATCCCGAGAGTAAATGATGGAAAATGAAATAATGTTCTTCCTATTAAAATGAATCGCATTTTTCTCAAATATTATCTTACACAAAAGAGAATGTTGGAGAAAGAATTTGAACAATTTTGATGGGAAGAAAGTCTATGATACGTACATATTTATATTTTCTCTCGAGATTGGTTTTCATTTGTTCTATTGTAATTGAATTTAATTAATTTTTAAATTGTTTCATGTAAAATGAACAAATGATGAATTTGAAATGCGGTCGCAATAATAACTGATCGTACATGTTCTGATGTTCTACCTGTCCAAATGAATAGCATATTTGTCAATTATTGTCATTTACTAATGATACTGTTAAAGGAAGAACTTTTGTATATTTTTAATAGTGATGAACAGTTATAATATATGAACTGCGATCACGAGAGTAAATGATGGACAATGAAATAATGTTCTTCCTATTGAAATGAATCGCATTTTTCTCAAATATCATCATCTTACACAAAAGAGAATGTTGTGGAAAGAATTTGATCTATTTTGGTGGAAAGAACGACTGTGATACGTAGATATTTATATTTTCTCTCGAGATTGCTGTTCATTTGTTTGATTTTAGTTGAATTTAATTAATTTTTGATTAGTTTTATATGAGATGAGGGGATGACGAATATCAAATGCGATCCAGAGAGTAAATGATTGTAAATGTAATAATGTTTTTCCTATTTTAATGAATCGCATATTTGTCAATTATTGTCATTTACTAATGATAGTGTTAAAGGAAGATCTTTTGTATATTTTTAAAAGAGATGAACAGCTCTAGAATATGAACTGCGATCCCGAGAGTAAATGATGGAAAATGAAATCATGTTCTTCCTATTGAAATGAATCGCATTTTTCTTAAATATTATCTTACACAAAAGAGAATTTTGGAGAAGGATTTCGATCAATTTTGATGGGTAGAATAACTATGATACGTATATATATATATATATATCTATATATTTTCTCTCGCGATTGCTTCTCATTTAGAAAAGAGAGTGTTGGAGTGTGATTTTCTGAATATCTTTGTATGTGTTCTAGAGGTAAGGAATATGAAATGTGATCCCGAGAGTAAATGATTGTAAAGATTATGATATTCTTCCTATCGAAATGAACCATATATTTGTTTAGTATTGTGTGTTCCATAATAATAACTGTGATATGTATATAGTTCCTGTCGAGATTACTTTGCGTTGTAACTGTGTTCCAAACGTGTGTGAATGAACGGTTTTGTCAGGTGTTCGTTAAAAATAATATTGATGCACGTTGTAGACATTTTTGTGAACAATAGAATATATATACTCTAGTGATTGTAAAGTGTGAAAATAAATTTTCAAGTAATTGTGAAGATTTTATCATGGTTAGTGGCAAGAAGAAAAGTGATGAAGGGAATGGCCTAATACATACTCTCTTCTTTGGGTAGTGATGAAAGAGAATTGAGATGTGATTGCAATTGTTGTGAAATTGTGAAGTATCTTAAATTCCAGTTTTTGGGAATTAATTGTGAATGGAAATAGCTCTACTAGTGTTGATGTTGTGAAGATCATTATATTGGTGAATTCTGAAGATCTTATGATGCTAAGAAGAAAATTGGGGGAATCCCCTAATACATACTTTGTTCGAGTAGTGATGAAAGTGAATTGGGAAGTAACTGCAATTGTTCTGAAAGCGTGAAACTTCTTTAAAACTGTTTTTAGGGAATAATGGAATAAATGGAAATAGTTCTTAATGTTGATGTTGTGAAGATATTTATGTTGATGAAAACTGTTGATATGTTAATGCAGTGAACAAATCGTTATTATCCATCGAGCATTGCTAAATGATCCAAAAAAAAATGAAAAAGAAAGTGTTCGTGCAGTGACTGTGTTCGAGTTTAAATTATTTTTAGAAACGAATCCTTTTCATAAAAAAAAAATTGAGACTGATTTTGATCAAGACTGACGGTTATATACAAGCTAAATTAAATAACTGTTTTAAATGTTAATAATTCATTTTTGATGATGCAATACGCATATGAGAAATAGACTAATTGTTTCTCTTTCTGTCGAAATAAATTACATCTTTTCATGTCTTTCTTTTTATGTATGAAAAGGATTGTCAAAAGTAGAATTTGAACGGGTTAGATAATCTGAATGTTAAATTGCATGTTTTGTTTTTAATTTATTCCTTTTCTTATGACTTGTGCATGTGTTTTTTCAATATAACTGGTCTATTTACTTAATTGTATAGTATTGCATAGCATATATTATAGTATAGCGCGATTGATTTGTTAGATTGTTTGTGTAGATTATTTTTTGATTATATGTAGAATATGTTGTAGATTGTGCTGTAGAATATTCGTGCTTGCTGTTAAATACGCCTGCTTTTGCTGCTTTTGTGTGCAATACGCTTGCTTGCTTCTTTTTGTGTGTAATACGCTTGCTTGCTGCTTTTTTTGAAATACGCTTGCTTTTGCTGCTTTTGTGTGCAATACGCTTGCTTGTCGTTTTTTGTGAAATACGCTTGCTTGCTGCTTTTTGTGAAATACGCTTTCTTGCTGCTTTTTGTAAAATACGCTTACTTGCTGCTTTTGTGTGCAATACGCTTGCTTGCTGCTTTTGTGTGCAATACGCTTGCTTGCTGCTTTTTGTAAAATACGCTTGCTTTTGCTGCTTTGTGTGAAATACGCTTGCTTGCTGTTTTTTGTAAAATACGCTTGCTTGCTGCTTTTTGTAAAATACGTTTGCTTGCTGCTTTGGTGTCCAATACGCTAGCTTGCTGCTTTTGTGTCCAATACGCTTGCTTGCTGCTTTGGTGTGTAATACGCTTGCTTCCTGCTTTGGTGTGCAATACGCTTGCTTGCTGCTTTTTGTAAAATACGCTTGCTTTTGCTGCTTTGTGTAAAATACGCTTGCTTGCTGCTTTGTGTGAAATACGCTTGCTTGCTGTATATAGCTTGCTTTTTAGTTGTGATTCATTTATGAGTTTCTTATATTATTATTTTATTATAATCATTATTTTATATACCTTTATATATTATGGGATGCCCCATTTTAATCTATAAATCCATAATTGTTATTTATTTTAACGTGTGACTGACAAAAATTCATTGATAATATTCATTCAGTCATGCAAGAAGATTAATAGTGTTTCATAGTCTATGGAACACCATTTGTAGACCGTGCTATAGCATTCGCTTTCGCTGAACGTGCCTGCACGTGCATTACTCACACATCACAAATATATACTCACAACCGCATCAGCTGACTTACTTACGCACTGCTACTCTTTGATGTAGCCAGTCGGCTTTCCTGCTTCTTCGCGAGCGCTTTAAATGGTAGGTCTCTTCTGTATCTTGTAGTTAGTCTTCTAAACAAACGGTCTATCAGAATTTAATTTTCAGTGTTTGATAATATCTGTGGCAAATAAGTAATCAGAACAATGCATTTGCTAAAGGAAATTATTATTTTGATGCTGGGCATTCAGATGATTTCCTCTCAATCAGAAAGTCTTCCAGGATTTTTAGGAGGAATTGAAAATGTCGCCAACAGTGCAAATAATTTTCGTGAGTAATCTTTTGGCATATTATGTATTATTTATTCTTTGATAAATAATTCCTCTTCGAAATTATTGTAAGTCTCTTTTCTTACTTTAGCGATATTTGTTGTTGTTTAAAAAAAATTTTGAATAATATAACATAGAATAGTATAACATAGAGAATAAAATATCTTTCGTTTTAATCAACATTGATTCTGAGTATGTAAATTAATTGTGCTTTTATTTTTTTGTATGTTTTGAGTTGATTTTTCTTCAATTAATTCTGAATTTATTTCTTACCCATTTGGAATATGTTTTAAACAATTCAATTACGTTGATTACGTATTATAACGTATGATTCTTAATTTATAGAATGTGGAAGTAGAATAAAGTGTAAAAAGATGAGAAATCAATTGCGAAGATCATTCATATCCAACTGTTCTCATTATAGAAGAGTACTTTCACCTGGACAGATATCGCAACTCGATTCAAAAATTCATTTCTAGTCTACGAGAGCATTTATGATAGTTTAGGTTTTATTAATAGACTAAAATATATTCACGCCAGTTCCAATGTGTAATGCCTTTTTTTTTTAATTTCATATTCGTCATAGCCTAGCATTAGTTTTATATAAACATCATTTCTGCTGTAGCGTTAATCTCTCTGCAAAAAAATACAGTTTTTTGTATTGAAATTAGGTTTTTGTAAGTGATCAAATCGTTGTTCGAATAAAAAATAATAATTATTCGTGAATTTGAAATAATTATAAGTTATAGTCAATGTGATATATGATTGGATGATTCATGGTATTCATATGTTTTTGTTATCTGAACGTCATTTCGTTCATTGGCGTGGACTTCACAGATTTTATTGTAGTGCAACAGGAATCGCCTCATTATACTACTGAAATTACGCCTTGCGAACTCAATTACGCTACTCTGAAAAATCACGCACGTAGAACCGATGTTCTTGATTGTGTCGCTTCTGGTAATCGTTTCCTCGTTTTTTTCTTTTCTACTTTTTTTATCTTGTATCTACTTGTTGTTTGCATGTTCGTTGTTAATTAATTCTTTTCCGTTTGGCCGTGTGATTGCATAAAAAGAATTATTGAATTTTTTTATATTTAAAACTTTCTTGTCCTAATAAACTTCTTGTTTATGTTGCTTGAATTAATTTAATTATTTTCTGAAATGTAAAGAATTTTTCGAAACTAGTTACCAGAGTCTAAAAGATTTTTAGAAGTAGTGAATTCTTGTAAAATAAGTGTAAAATATTTTGATAATTTATTTCATTATCGTTTAATACAGTAAATAATTTATCTGGTTGTTATTACTATACTTATTCTTTTTTTTAGAATTCAGTTACTCAATCCATCGAATTATTTTAATATTTATAAGAGAAATAATCATTTTAAAATATTCAACATTCAAGGCTACGACTGTCGTACTCGTTACTGTCATACTTTGAATCTCATTTCGAAATTATAGTCCTGGTTAATAGCACCTCGTTCACGTGTCAAAAAAATGTAATCGGTCCACGTTAAACTGTTAGTAATAAACTGATCATTCATCGACCATTCGTATAAAGATGGAATTGTGTTTCAGAGGAAACCTTTGCGTTTACTCGTTTGTTACAGTGTCGGGATTTATGCGACGACAGAAAGAATTGATACATCGCGTTACGGACACAGCCTCTAATTACAGTATGTGAAACTTTCATCCAAACATCTCTGAATCATTATTTTCAAACTATTCCATCAAACGTTTTTCGATTTCATTGCTAGTATTTATTTTGGAGCCATTAAGTATTAGTATTTTGGTCAGGCAACTTTGTATTAAATATTAATATCTCAGTCATGATAAATTAGATTCAGTCGAAATCTATTAAAATCAATTAAAATTTAATCCAATTTCAATGTCAATTGAATTCATTTTGAATTGTCCAACAAGTAGTCCAAGGATAATATCGTAAAGATGGAATGAAGTTTGGAAAGCTGCTTCTGTAAGAACCTAGAGTTGCACCACGCCTGCAACAGCATTTTTAATGAGCAGTCTAATGCGAGTTTCAGTCGCTCAACAACGTCGTCCAGTCAGACAGTTACGATAGGAGACGATTGCGAAAGAAATTAAGAAGCTTCTTCTGAAATACCTTCACTTTGGCTATATCAATTTTCTGCTTATATACATGTATTATTCCATTGAGAATAGTATGTACATCAGCTAGTAATCATGATTTCAACATCAAAGCATGTGGATAACCTTCAGACCTATTTTTCCTATATTAAATCAACTTTTATCGTCATCGAGTTTGATCTTTTCAATTCGATATGGGAACCTACGGTCATAATTAATTTCGCAAAGTGTACTGTGCATTGCTATTAATCTCCATACGCTATATCGCTTTATTTCAACTGTCATGTATAAATACTGGTAAGCGTAATTAATGAAGATGCAGGAAATTAACAATATTCTTTTCTATTGTTTTAGTTACCACTGCGGTGGAAACGCCTAAGAATCTCATCATCAACGCGACTAAACTCACTACCGGCTACAGTAAGTATTTTGAATTACAGTGATTCGTGAAAGTATTAGAACATTTTCAAAAACCTTTTATGAGTGTTAACATTTTATTGACATAGTGATGAAACTGTACTAAAAGCTCGAAACGAATCTGAAATATTTGAAAAAGTCGTAAAAGGTTTCTAGAAGTGTTTGAATATTTTTGTGAGCCCGAATGTGTTCAGTCAATTGATACTAATTAACTAAAGGATAGTTGACAGCGCTGCCTCGAAAGGTCTGGAATTCAAAATTCGAAGGATTATAGAGCAAATTCGTGGTAGAATGCCATACGGAATACCAGAACTTGGAATTCCATCTTTGGAACCGTATCATCTTGACGAACTGTACATCAACTTCGACAATTCGGATATAGGAAAGTAAGTTCGACGATTGATTAAATCTTTGGTCACGTTCAAGGTCTTAACAAATTCCTGAACACTCCATCGTTGTTCCGATACAAAGGAATTTCATTGCTAGTTGATACAAAAATAATGCCGTCAGTTACTCATTTTCGTTTTCAGTTTATTTGTACTTAACTACCAATAACAATAAAAAATTGTAAATAATTTAAACTTTAACTTTAATGATAAAAACGATCACATCTATAGTCTCGTTTTAAAACATAAAGCCTCTATTTCAACATTCGTAAATTCGGTTTTTTTTTAAAGATGGTTTTGTAAATGTATGAAAATTTAGTATAAATGTATAAAAAATAAGTACAATTTGATTTAATCTCGTGTATATATATATATATAATACAGGATGTTTAAATTACATCAAACCAATATATAATCTAAAAAATAAGTTTTATTGTGAGCAGTGAGCATCCTGTATTTAATGAAATAACTTTTTATGTAACATCTGTTCTCACTCTCCGTTCGAGTTACAATACCGTGTTGAATTTTTCAGCATATCCATTGTTCTGGAAAATCTCTCGTTATACAACTTATCAACTTTCGTAGTCAATAAGGCGAAACTATCTTTGATTGGGCCAATATTTGCGGCAAATATTTCTGTGCCGGAAATACATATCGAGGGTTTTTACAATATAACCGGAGACATCGGAAATACAGTCGATTTGCAAGGTGCAGGATCTTTTAAAGCAAATGTATATGATTTCCAACTGTATGTGAGCAGTTTATTGGGATTCAGAAAAGGAGTGTACTTGAAAACTTTCTATATGGATTTTTCGTTGAGATCCATCGATATCGATTTAGGGAACTTTATGGATGATGATGAACTGACCGACGTTATGAACAAGGTAGAATCATTTAGCCAAATTGTTAGTAGTTAGTGGTAGCTTTGAAACTTTAGTAAATTGAGTTACAAAGCTTTGAATTTGAATATTTTGTCCTATGTGGGATCTTTTTAAAAAAAGAAAGAAGAAATATTAGGATATAAATAATGAGTAATCAAAATCTTGGCAACTTTTACATTTCAAGTTTCTGAAAATTTTTGTTTGTGTAATGCGTTTTGCAAAGAAGTTGAGAGAGGAAACGTTCGAGATGATATCATTATTTGTTTAATTTTTGTGGTGGAATTTAATAAATGGTGTAGAAGAGGATCACGAAATTGAATTTACATATATTTATCCGTAGGTCGTTCGGGAGTTAACGCCAAAGGTAATAGAATTTATTAAGCCAGATATACTTCCGGGTATCCAGAGTTACGTAGGTAATAAAATTAACGAGACCATTCAACAAATTACCCTAAAGGACGTGATGAGTGTGCTTGGCAATAATGAAATTCGAGAATTTACACACCTTATACCGTTTTAAAATTAAATACTCGTAAAGAGGTCCATTGTCCTTATAAAATGTTATAAAAATAATACCAACCATATTTAACTACAAACATAGATGCTTAACAAAAAAAAAACTTTCAACGTTTTATAGAATTTTTTAATCTGAAGTCGTTTGTTCGATTTTTTTTGCCTTTAAAAGATCTTATAATTAATAAAATGATTTGTTGAATCAAATTTTTATTGGAGAATTTATCAATAGTTTCATTTTTGAAAAATAACGTTAGAATGTAGTTACAATTTAGTAATTATAAATATCATAAAGTAGTTTCTTGCTTAATTATAAATATCATAAAGTAGTTTCTTGAAGAAATGATTTTGGTATAAGGACAGTTGAAGTATTTGATACCTTTTTATATATCCTTTCTAGAATGAATCCTTTCTTTATTTCTATAATTTTGGGAATATATGTAAGTGGTAAGTAGATTAGTAATTTTAGTTTTGTAGTTGTGGATATTTATGTAAATTCTCTAGTAGTACGGTTTCAATGTTATTTTAAGTATTGTAGAACTTTGAAGTGTATTTTGCTGTAGCTTGGAAAATATATAAATTCGTATTATCTACAGATTAGTACTCTTTTCCCCTCTCTTATTTTCCAATCTTTTTTTATCAATCCTTCATAAATATTTCATTGTAATGGGGGTAGATAAAGGCATGAAAAAACTTTTTAAAGAAATTCAATTTTGGTAGAAAAGATCAAAAGTTGTCGACGATAACATGAATATAAAATATCAGTCGTCAAGATAAATTCAATGAACTTGAGTCGAGGGATAAGGTAGTGTGTCCTACTTCATGTTTCATTCATTGATTCATATAGCGAGTGTAGCATTCTTAATTCACGAATACAGAATGAAAGTGGCACCTGGTCCTTGGGTTAAATCCCGTTTCATGATCTCGCTTTTGTCATTTGTTAATTATTGCAATTATTAATTCAGTCATAAATAATTTTAATTCCTTTTCTGTTTGAGTATTATGTCGTATACTATAATATGTTTTAAGATAATGTGAATAACTTCACTTAATTTATGTTAATAAAAACGATGTTTTAGTACATATTATTAACTCACCTCCCACACACTCAAGTTAACTAAATTTATTTATTATTCATTAAAATATGTGCTGTTCATTAAGCAAATAGTCCAAGAAATCTAACTAATTAGAAAATTCTTGACAGGAGGCAAAACATTAACGCGAAGAATCAAGATTAGAGATAGAAAAACTGCGCAGTTACATATAAGCAGTTCGATGTGTATCAAATAAATGGTCTGGTCATTGATAATTGATGTGAATGATAACCGGCGCTGTTAAGATTAACGATAGGCTGGTAACCAGATTATGGGAAAAGTTATCGATTCGTCAATTAGATTGTCAGATTAATCAACGTAAAAGAAAAAAGAAAATCCTGACTATTTACTTTAGACGAAGGTATGATTTTTCTTTTCTTTTTTCCCCACCTATCTTGCTGTATGATAACGGAATATTGGATAATTGTTAACTGGCTTTTCTGATGCGCGATGATAGCGATGTATTTTTTCTATACAACTCTTTATTTCGATGATATTGAGATTAATGAAATCTGATGGTTTGGAGTACCTATATTTTTGTCGAAACAGATTGTTGATCTGTCAGAATTGTTTCTCTCGATTTGCGAGATATTTTTCTATGCTCCCTGTGACACAATAAAAGTCAAATATTGCATGTAACCGTATGTGCAAGTGTTTGATATATCATTTAGTGTTTTACTATCGAAGGAAAATTTCTCTGTTTGTTCCTTAATTGAAAAACGCGAATAAACATGTAGACACAGATGACTAAGTTAAATAATTCACTTTGCAACTTGTTAAAGAAATAGCAGAATATTCTTCCTAGAAAATTGTGGAATTGCGAACCAAGAAAACTCCATTAATATTTAGTACTTCAATATTTTTGTAATGTAAAATTCTGAGAATGTTCAAATGTTCAAATATGCAAACAGTTACAAAAGATTAGGTCATTTGTGCGTTTTTAGAAACATATTAATATATTTTGAAGTACATAGATTCTATTGTCCTATTGTTTTTTATTTAGAGAATTATTTATTCCTTTAGGATGTAACATAAAATAATTGCTGTTAGTTACACTTTTTTTTTTTTTTTTTGCTCGATTCTATCGTAAATAAAAAATATTGGGATGGTTCCTAAACATCTACGACCATAAAGACAACAAGACTTTTTGATAAATTGCGATCGAGCTAATGATAAATTGCAATCGAATCTCAATGAGTCTATTATTATCGTTATCGGCGGTATTCTATAATATATATCGTTATCATCGATCACCAAATACTTGCACGTGCTCCATCTCTCTTGTATTTTAAGTGGTCGGTTTCAAAGATAATTTTTGGTGACCCCTTTTCGTTCTAATAATCGATACTGATTAGCTCAAGAATTTTCAATTTATGCATCCGTTTCGTCACATGGTTTTCATTTTACAATTTTCAAAGTACGTGAAAATAAATCATAAATCACGAACTGTTTAATAGACTGTATTTCTGTTATGAATTGCTTCTAAAGAGTAATATTTCTCTCACTGCAGTTGTTTTGTTGGATTATCAATGAAGTGAAATACAATATTTCACACATACGTTTAGATGAATAAAACTGCGAAAATTCATTTGATTGTTATTGTTTCGACTACGTGCATCACTCACAGGGAAGTTTATTTCATATGAATAGAACTGAATTGGTTAATTCGTTCTAGAAAAACCTCTGCAGCAAGTACTTAATTTATTCAATGGTGTGATTTCATGATTGATAATCACGTGAGGTTTCATCGATGTGAAACGATTGAGAACGGTTCTTTAATGATCACTAAAACTAAAGTCGAAATATCTGTAAATCTCTTCCAGAAAAAGTTCAGTAGAATTTGTAATATACAATGTTATTTCTGACAATTTAAAAACTGACTTTTCCCTGTAATTTGTGCATCGTATATTTCGTTTTCTATAACGGCAATGATTCTTTTATATCCTTTAACGATTTTATGTTTCAACATAAATAACATCTCAATTTCTTTTCCAGGCTTCAAAATACAGCCCGAAGCAATGTTCTTTTTCGAACATCAATACAATTTGTTGAAAATAGTATTTCTATGTCAGGACAGCATGCTCTCTTCTATTTTTCACTTCATGACCTGAGTCAACGAAAAGCAACAGTTGGTGGATCTTCTGAACGACAAAGAAATAACTATTCGCAAGTATTGCCGTGACAAGGAGACGTGTAGCTCGTGTGGAACGAGGAAGAGAGGGAGGGAGAGAGAAAGAGAGAGAGAGAGAGAGAGAGAGACAGAAACAGAGAGAGAGTAACTTGGAAGTCGCACATGCGTAAGATTCGACGATATAATAGAGCCCCAGAGGAAGCAGTCGCGCTTAAACGCCGCCCGGCGTCGGACGTATTTGTGAGATGGTAGAGACAGTTGATTATTCAACGCATTAAAAAAAAAAGAAAAAGAAATAGTTACTGCCTTTCCACTAAAAGAATTTTAAGAAAAAGAACATCCGTCTTGTACAAAGAACAAATTTTTACCCGTCATGAAGTGATAGAAATCGTTCATTGGAGTAATTGGTAATGAAAATCGAGGATTGCGCATTGGACTTCTTGTACGAAGATTTCCATCACTTTTACATCTTGTGACACACGAAAATACTCTGGGAGGATTGTCGAAGAATTTCTTCAAGATTTCTGTGCAGAATGGAACGACGATATTGTTGAATTCTCCGAGTTCATTTAAGAAGCGTTAATAACTTTTGACAACTTCTGTGGCATTCTGCTGAGCATTTAACGGTGAATAACAATTGTTGAAACTTCTATACTGCTTTCTATAGAATTAGTGCAATTTTTATAATTTCGAATAAGTAATGCAGAGAGATGCAGCAAATCCTTTATTAAATACTTTTTACTGAGCGAAGACCGCAGAGTCTTAGAATAACGCTTATGGAATATTTAATAATTTCGCGAAGCAAAAAATACAGCAGTTTTTCGATCCCGTCGGTACAATATTTATTTATTTAAGGTTAGCTCTCAGAAATGAAGTGCATTCTGAATAAGTTCAAAGCGAGAGAGACATAAACAAGTTCCTGATAACTTTCTCCAAAATCTGCTATCACATTTTTAAAATACTCATTTTTTTCGTATGTTAGATGGTTAAAAAACTAAGACGGGGGAAAAAGCAGAAAGAACAAAAAATAAGTAAACGTGTATAGATGGCATTTATTAAGATCATCGGAGGAAATTGCGGAGCCCAAGGCAAGTTTAATATTACTCTCGAATCGGCGTTGTTTGATAAATATTATCATAAGCGATGGCTCTTCGAATCGTCTGCTGGTCAGTTGATGCTCTTATAAATAAACTAGAAATCTGTTTCTAATGTTTTTAATTGACTCGCAGAAACATCAGTAAAATGAGTTTAATTAACTAAACGCCAGGTATTAATACTACATTGCTCCACTTAAGTCGTCTGATTTGATAGCAATCTCTGTAGTTCATCAAACAGATTTTTCAAAGAAAGAATGTTGTTGACGTATGTTTTTTGTAGCTTTTTATTGCTCTTATTTGTTTTTGAGACTAGTAAAATGAAATGCCGAGGAAAGAAAATGGAAAATATCTTGTGTGTGTCTGGTTCCGTAAAATTAAATACATTCGTGGATAAATCCATTGATTTGAAAAACCAGATTTTCTTAGTAAATAAGAATGTTGTCGACAAATGTTTCCTGGAAATATTATTGGTCTTATTTTTTTTCAATCTGATTAGATAAAAAAGTGAAGGAAAAAGTACAATATATTTTATTTATCTAGTTCTATCCAATAAAGTTCAGTAATATTTGTTCATTGATATCGAAAACTATTAATAAAAAAAATAACGAGAAAAGTCATATAAATTTAAAACATCAGTTTTGTATAATTGAAAATACTAAAAGAAAAGAAAGAAATTTTCTGATATCAACATTTCTTATTTATATTATTCTTACATTTCTATTCGTTTTATTCTATTTCAAGCATCTCTGATTTAATTCATTCTTCATATCGTTTGAAAGTTTAATTTCGATGTGTAGAATATTCCTGAATACTCGCAAAAGTACTCGCAAGAATACTCTAAAAAATTTAATTTATTCGACAAAATATACAGACACCTAGGATTTAACTTGTTTAGACTGTTATAATGAAGTAATTAATTAATTAGGTTATCTGTTTTATTTCTCTAAGTACAAATATTTAACTTATTTGAGTAGTTTTATAAGTTCTGCATTTACAAAAAAAAAAAAAAAAAATCACGTAGAAATTCAATAATAGTTGCTTCTCAGAAAATTATTGCATAATGAGCTTTACAAATTTCTTTGAGATAGATTTTAAAAGATTTTTAAACATGTATTACGAAAATTTAAGAAGTTTCCAATTGCATTTTTTCTTACTATGAAGAGTAAAATTTTTTAATTGTACTGTAAAATACTTGTCTCTACTAGGAATTTCTAAATTACATGGTTTTACATTACATTTCAGTTACTTTATGTTAATTCTTTGTCACAAGAATTTTTTTGTAACAATTGTATTACGTCCTTTTGATCTTGTATTTGTAAACGAAGTAAATATGTACATTGTCGTTGCTCACTGCCGAATTTCACGCCTGTCTCTCACTCAAATTTTACAGTAGAATGACTTCGTATGTAGTCAGACACATTATCTTGATTAAATGTGGCTAGAATAGCATGAGCATCGTTTAATATTTGAAAAATTTTATTAGCATGAAAAGAATAAATCATAGTATTATTAAGAATATAAGATAGAAATGGAAATTCTTAAATTCAATTTATTGGTATATATTTGAAATTTATTTTAATATAGTTAACTTGAATATTTTGATTTAAAATTGCAATTTTTTAATTTATCTACTTAATTTTTTCAACTTCAAAATATTTTGAAGTATTTCTTAAAGTTCTTTAATTATATTGCAATTTAATTTTTTAAATTTAATAGAGCCATAAGATTTTATTTTATTATTCTTTAATTTTATTTTGCGTTTACAATTATGGTTGAATTTATGGAATATAATAATAATAATAATAATAATTGTAATTGTATTTCGTTTTATTTCCCAAGTTTACTAAAATTTTTGATGGAGAAAAATTGCGATAGAAACTGCGTTATTCTTGGACTCTGTACTAAAAACATTACCCATTCATGGACGAAATGAACTCCATTATTACAAGTGTTGGACATTTATTATGCTGAAGATAATTTCATGTAAATTTGAAAATTTGACGATTTTCAATATTTTCTTAATTAAATATTATCACCGACATAATAGAGTTAATTGAAAACTTCATATATGAGCGTTAATTGAATATGATCTCTCTGTATTGATTTTTAATATAATCGGAGTGTTACGTTAAGTTTCACATTCCTTGCATCTTAATTTTTCTAAGTTAACTTTTCTGAAGTTAAATTTTCTTTTTCTTTTCTCTTGCTTTCCTTATTGCAATTATTTATAATAATTATATTGCAATTATTTATGATAATCTATAATAATTTGTAATAATTACGGTAAATTTCTAGTTTAACTGCTTTTCTCAATTTTGACTGTTTCGCTACACTCCCTCTTTCTTTCCCAAAAAAATTAAAATTGAAAAAATTGAAGAAAAATTTAAACTAGAAATTTACCTACATTTATAATAATTATGCATTTAATAGTTCATATTTTTAAAAATATTTCCTCTATTTTTTTTATTTGAAAAATTCACTTCGATTTTTCATACTAAATTCATGTCACGAACGCTTGTTAGAATCTTTTAAGTCAATATCTAGTTCTTTTACTGCAGAAAACGGATTGGCAAGCAAACTTATCAGTTTCCTTATCGAGTGACATGAAACACATACTTCTGATAGTACAGAAGAGCAGTGGCGCGTTTGTAAATTTTCCAAATCCAATGCACAACCACCAACATCTGCGTACTTACTTCGTGAGAAGTGTGGAAGTTCGAAGGATCGAAATAGCTTTCGATTGAAGCTTTCGAAACAAGCCTTTTCTACGTCGATATTCAATTATCAGGCGAGCTCTCAATGTGTTTATTACGCGTACATGAGAGAACGTTTCGGAAACAGAGAATACTCAACTTGATTTTGCAGTCAGAAACAAGCTGAAAGCCATCCATATAAATTGAAACTTTCATGTTGCGCCTCTAGAGAAAACTGTGACCCATGGGAATTCAGTAATTTGCTCGGCGCCCGTCGGAAATTTTGAGATAAATAAATAACTCTTCGAATATTTCTCAACTTGCACTGGCTGCGAAGTTGGTAGTGAAAAAGCTGCGCTACCTTTGGGAATATTTTTGAGATATTTCATCAATCGTATAGCATTTATTTCGAATAAACTGAGAATTTTGGAGCAATATATAATTTAAAATTATTTGTATCTGTTGTGCTGTTTAGACGGAATTTCTAATTATAATCTTTTTTTAAACTATAGTCTCAATATAGACCATCTTTCATTGTTCATTAATTTTTGTGGTTGTATAATTTTGTAGATTCTATAGACTGTAGACACATGGAAACACAACATACACTTTGGAGAAGCTATTTATTCAGGTATTTTAGGTATTAATTAGCTGTTAAAAGTTAGAGGGTTGTCAATTCCTCTGTTACCATAAACCGTTTGTTTGAGTTGTAAAACTCATTTTATTTCGTACATAGTACAAAGTACACAGTACATGGTACATAATTATACGATGGTTTGGCACGTGACTCCATTGTATTAAGTCAGAAACACGCCTTTGTTGGCCCTTTTAGGACACTAATTAAAGCGATGACACATTGCGAAGTAAATCAATTAATAGCATGACATCGGCTTCACTTTACTTTCGCTGGTATTATCTCTCTCGTATAAGTGTATATGTAGTATCTTCGATACGTATGTATGTATGTATGTATGTATAGTGTCCACATAGCCGATCCTCTATCGATTTTTTGAAACGTGTTCATCTCCATGTTTTTCAGCTATCCATTAAATGGCTCTCTTAGTTTAAATAGTCAACATTCAACATTCCTCTTCCTTTTTACCGACTTTTTGTGATTTAAAATAGAACTTCGTATTTGTAACGTATACTGAATAATGTAATTATTTTAGAGTTTCTTGCAAATGATATGGGATTTTAGAGTTTGCATTGGTTGATTTTTTAATTTTATTCTGTTAATTTCTTAGAAGTTTTAATGTTACATTTTCATTTTATAAAGTAAGGCCGAGAATTTTAGAGGAACTCATTATATATTCTAAAATATTTTTATGCAATAAAATTATAAAAGTTTTATGGCATAAATGTTTTTAAAATGAATAAAATAACAGTTTTTAAAATTTTATTGCATGCAAGATAGAGTTTCCCTATTGTTGTTTAATATATGATTCCAGAAAAGTTGTAGACAGGATCGAACGTGACTCTGTACCTTCGTTCAAAGTTATTTACGGTCAGGATTACGTTAATTGCGTTATATAATCATTTATTGCTACAACCATTCCCTGTATTTCGAGAATTTAATCCTCCAGGTGGATTAATGTTCCAAAGGAGCTGGCTTGTTATTCGCAGCTAACAATCGTCTTGTCTCTTTATCTCGAATCTTCATTATATCTCTAATTAATTTACAACTCTAATTTGCAAATCTAGAAATCTTATAAAAACCTCACTTAAAAATTTTCATTTATTCTAATTTTTATTTTATTCTAATCCATTTTAATTTAATTATGAACTTCAATATTTTTCGCATGATGATAATTAGATAATTAGATCGTTATCTTAATC